GTAGGAAGTCGTTTTCTCTGTACTGCATCAGCATATATGTGCAGAATTCATTCCAGTCCACCAATCCATCGGCAGAAGTATCCACCTGTGAAGAACACACCAGTCATGATAAATAAATATATATATGTGACATTCATTATAAGAATGAAATTCTATTCTGATACAATTGTGTCATGGATAGTCTGAAATAGAGTGCTTGAAATTCCCAGAATACATATTTTGTAAAAAATAGTCACTGAAGAATTAAATTTATTTAAAATTCTACATGATCAATTCAGGTTATGTACTCTTGTAGCAACGCTGATATTAAAACAAAATTTATAAAAATTGTACTTTTTTTTGTTAATATACAGTGGAGGTTTACTATTAAAAATAAATATACACTGTAGATGATTGCTAAGAACATAATATTTAAATAATAACAAGCAAGAAGAAAGTTGACAAGTAATATAAAGGCGAAATTACAATTCAAGGTACATTTTATGGATAAAAATAAATCTATCAAAGTAATTTTTCCGTATACAGCCTGGAGCATTCTAACATCCAATATGGGTATGGTATTGAGAATTGAAATTAATAACTACAGAGCACCTAACTGGTTGTAAATAAGGAGAAAGTAGATGGCATTTGACACTGAATACTATACATATTAAAACAGGGTATGGGGATTTACTGATATACTGGAATTTGTAAAAAGGATTTCTGAGATTGTGAGATGCAGTTAACATATTTGCTCTATTAAAAGTACACATTGCATTTATTGTATGCTGGTTTATTAAAATACTACCGGTACTTATTTTGTACTGTTATCAATAGTTGTACTTTTATCTAGATAGAGATTTATGTATTTTATTAATACCTCATTAACCATCCATTTGCAACCATGCTGCTTAAAACAGCTAACTTCGGTAGTTCGCAGCCACGCTGCATCTACCATAACTACTAACTTCTTGCAGCCAACGCTGCTGCTCCACAGTATAGCCGCAGCCTTCGCTGCCTATACCTCAAATTGCAGTCATGCTGCAATCTCTCATTACACTACAGCCTCAGCGACTGAAGCTTCATTACTAACACAGATTTTTGAGTTGTGTATTATTTCAGAGTTCTTGCGTTCACATGGTGGGGGCTCATGACATGTCCATCCTGGTATATTTCTTGTAAGCCAATGGATTTCGTTGTGTGCCCCCTTTTTTGCCAAAGTAAAGAAGTATATTCGCTAGATTTTATTTTCACGGAATCATCCCTTCAGCAAAAATAGCGAAAATAAATTTCAAGCGAAAATAAAGTATTCTACAGTATTTACTCATGCACTGCTAACAAATACAGAATTGATTTTGTAGTTGGAAATATTTTTGGTGAGAATTTTTTTTTTACTTGGAAATTAAATTAAGGTAGAGATGCAGGTTGGGAGACTATATTTCTAATTGCCTCTAATTACTGTAATTACATGAGTAAAATATACTTTTTACCAATCAAGTTATATATCATTTGAAAGAGTTTTATTTAAATTTTTGAGTTTT